ACTCTCTGACGATCCTTTGCTTGATTGAAGGCTGTTCTAAGCTTGTCCGTACGCGATACGACCGCTCTGGCCAGTTTCTTGCCTAAAAGGCTGGCCATCTCGTACGCGTAGTAGATTTTCTCCATATCTGCTACTTCTCATTGACGGGGGGCAAATCCTCGCGAGTCTAGGTCAAGAATGTATCGTACGATAGTTTGCTCTTCAGATTTAGTTAGCTTCTGGCAATTTGGCTGCGTCGTAGGTCGAAAGGTGATTCCTTGAAGCCGCCGAGAGATCTGCTGATGATGGACGTTATAGGCTGCTGCAGCGCGTCGAATGCTCTTAAACTGGCCTGTACGATAGGCCTGAACTGCTAGAGTAAGCCTACCCTCTTGCTGAGTAAATATCACGTTCTGTTGTTGAGGCATTGTCTTTCGTACGTGAAGTTCGCGATGCCAAGAAAAAGTGGCACTCTCGGTGGGGTGGCACTCTCGGTGGTGGAATACGTTAACAGAAAATATGAAAATTGAGATAAAAAACGATAATCGTAAACGCCAGAACGCCTCCAGTCCACCACGCTAGATGCCAGATCCTGTGTGCTTTTTCTTCCAAGCATATAGCTCAAAGAAGAGGGATATCCCGTGCTCTGTCTAATAGTTGCAAAAACGCCTAGCAATGCTATAATTCCTTGACCTCATGACTCGTGATGGTCGTGTTTACCCAAGGTCCCTGAACTCCGTTCGCTCGCTATGCCAGATGAAAAGACGAAAAAAGTAAACCAAAACAAAAGAGCTTGACGATAGGGAAAAGGAAAAAGTGGCTACTACAACGTTGTGGAAACGTGAATGATAGTAGTAGCAGTGGTAGTACAGGCGGTGCAATGTAGTGATACACGGCTAAAGCCAGAGAAAGATTTGTTGAAATGAACAAGAAAAAGGATGTTGAATGTGGAGAGTTTAGTCCGTTCCGGTTAGATCCAGAGAAAGAGCAATATCGTGCTCGTCGTTGGGCTCATCGCATCCAGTGGATGGGTTGATCGATAAGCATGAGAGAGGAGAAAGAGAAATGCGAGAGACGTGACATGGCATGGATTGCCATGATGAAGCATGCTGAAGGGATGCTGATGCCATCCTAGAGGATAACAGGGGAGTAGCGGGAGGGCCCGCTCAGCTTAGTTATAGCCGCCGCGACCCAAGTTGGCGGCCTCTTCCTGGGTGTTTGGTGGTGACATTGTGGATATTTGCTGACGGTCTAGTATTTTGAACTGGTTGCTGTTTGAGATATCGAGGCTTATGTGGACGTGGTTGTTGGTGTGGAGGTTGACGTAGATGACGATTTTCTTAGTTGTATCCACCACGGCCCATCAAGTGGTATCCGGAGTGTCTTATTGGAGTGTATTGGAATGAAACAATGCTGATCAGAGTGGCTGCAGTAAGTTGTCGAGGTGACTGTGTGTGTGGGTGGGGTGAAACAAGGTACACTAGAGTATGACTGCGGAAAGGCGTAAAGAGACGGATGAATGAATGGAGTTGAAACAAGAGAGGGAGCGAGGATGAGACTCCTTAAATGAAACTGAGAGGCCGACCGAGAACAACACTAGAAGTGTGGGAAAATAGAATAGGATACTCGGGAAATAAAGGATACGCGGCGCTCGGGTATCGTGACTGACTGCGCAATGCTGCTCTTCGCCCACTGTTCAGCCAGGCATCCAAACCGTCGTTTCTACGCACAGGCCGTTGTATTTTATTCCCTTTTGCCCTTACCACCACCAACCGCAGCCATGGGAGGGGTGGCGGTCGGGGGACCCTGGCGCAAGCCACGATCCAAGTCATCAGTAGCCGTTAGTCGCCGGCGAGATTGCGCAGCAGTAGCAGTAGCAGCAGCAGCACGCCATGGTATCCGCTTGGGTAGACTAGAAATAAGTGCCAGGGTGTGTGCGTGGGCAGCGTGGCAGTGAGAGACGAGGGGCGCGCCCCGCGGGTGAGAGCCGCAAAAGCCAGGGGGCATGGATGCACGAGCTCTGGACATGGGTCATGGGCGGCTGATGGGGAGCTGGCCTGCTGATGGCATGGAAGCGTGCAGAAAAGCGTGGCACCCGGGGCGCGATTGGTGAAGACGGGCAAAATGCGATTGCAAAGCAGAGATAGAGAGGGTGTGTGGAAGGGTGGAAGTGTGGAAGGGGGGGCAGACACGTGAATGCAGTCATCTGCAGATAGGCAGGAAGGTGCGAACTGGGCTTTCCTTCCCTTGCCTTGCCTTCCCACTCCCCCGTCGCCTCTGCTTACCTCGACCACCACCACCACCACCATCATCACCACCATGATGACAAGACTGCAGCCAGAATCTTCCCACCCCACGCTCTCCGCTTGGAACTCGTGGGCGCTCGCCAAATCCGGCTATCGTCGACGACCGCGCTTCGTGCTGCCATTGGACAGGCGAGGAAACGCACGATACAGTCATACAGCACCATTGCCGGCTGTTCGCTGCCCTCCCACCCTGTCTGCCGCGTACCTGCGCTGTGCATCTTACTCCATCATAGCAGTCCTCATTTGGCAGTTCTGGCAGCCCGTCTCTTGCAACATGCCGCTTCCGAAAAGGCGGCGCCCAGCACGCCCAGTACGCCCGCATTAGACCCATGTCCCGCCGGCTCAAGACGTCAATTTTTGCGGTTACTCATCCCCACGTTGCCGCGTTAAGCTGGCTTCCCTGGGGCCGCTTTCCGTGGACGAGGCCAATGCCGTGCCGGCACACATAACGCTCTGCCGAGTGCAAACTACGTCTGGGCACTGGGCGACGTTGCATCGTGCCGGTTTGCGACTTGGAGGCAGCCTCAGTGGGGGAGCTGGAAAGCCCCAGCCAGCGAATAGAGTCGCAGTGCTGGCCAAGAGGTTGTCTCTTTTGAGCCCATCCGAGGATACAGCGCATAGCGGAGCGCTTGTGCTTGAGCCCTACCCGCATACCCACCGGCCTGCTTGTGTCGAGTACGCTGCCATACTAGGCCATTGGTGCCTAGGCAATAGGAACGGTAGCATTCGACATGCAGCATTCGGCGACGTATGCAGCCCAACTATGACGAACTCTGTGCACCCCGGTGTCTTCAGCGCACAATGTCCAGCTGTACTGCGCTCTAAACCGGATCGTTGCGACACTTGGGCTCTTTTTTGCCCCGATCGGGCATAGCTGCCGCCGCTGGACACCAGCTGGGCCGGAGACGTCTCCACAATGGTATTTTAGGATGCAGGAACAGCACTCGCCTGATGCAATCCCTCTGCTGAAAATGAGGGCTGTACGCACAGTAGGCCCGTGAAGAAATTGCTCGCCGACGAGAAATTGTTCGCCGACTACAACTGTGACTGGCCTAAGCCAGAGAAAATGCTCCCTGGTCTTTCTGCAACTAATCAACAAACAGATCCATGCTATTCTCAAAGTCATACAGATACTCAACAGGGCTGACCGAAATCTGCACAGCAATAAACGTCCCGAGGCTTGGCCCCGAGAAGTGTCCAATACATCTTGCATGCTCCCTCGCTCTTTCGGCTTCTCGGTCCAGGCAACTCGGCATTGGGAAATATGCCTTGTTGGTAGGACAAACGAACAGCCACGAGCGAGCCTGTGTCGCAGCATCCCGACAGGTTGGGAAGAAATCTCACCAAAAACATGGCAGTAAGAACCCCTGGGGCTATGTATGGACCCCCGATTACCACTGGTACCAGCCCATTGGGAACAGGCAATGAACGGGTGTGTTAAATGCATATGCAGGGTACACGACCATAGGGCTAGCCCGCAGATAGATACAGTACATTTAGGCTGTCGCTATCGATTGGCAACAAGAGCCGTAGGCGTATGCCTTGGAACAGATATCGGAACAGTGGAGCACGCTTCCAGCAATAGCTTTGTCGGTGCACCCACACAAGTCCTTTCTATGCCCTCAATAGGACCATATTTCCGCTTCCACGGTTCTTCTGCTACGCGCCCATCTCGCAACATGAAGACTTTGCTTGAACGGGCCCCCCGCGAGCCCATCTGCACGTCTATATCTCTAGTTGCTCACATAAACAGTCCCCAAAAATAGGACGGCCCCTCCCTCCCCACGCCAATCTTCGATGCCTCAAAACAAGCGCGACAAGCGCTTGTAGGGCTGACGGCACTGCTGACATGACGGCGCATTCGCTCAATCTAGCAACTCCGCATTGCTTTTCACCGCGACAACCCTCATTGGTTCGCAGAGAACGGTACTGGTGCGGGAGTGTATTTTGGGATACAGATTTCAGCCACAAGCCTTGCCGTTTTTGGGGCTATTTGGGTCCTTTGGGGAAATGCTGCGTTTGGGGTTATTTTGGGGCCCTTCTAGGCTACCACTTACGGTCGTCTCACAGGGTAGCCTGGGACTAGCAATTGCCGGAAAAGCTGGTGAGACGAAGAAAAGAGCAGTCCCGAAAACCGATCACTAATAGCGCAAGTATTTGGACGGAAGTAAAATCCGTCGTGTGTGCCTGGTAAGTAGTACCTCGATCACGTTACACCTTGGCCATAGTTTAGACTCCAAACATGCTGGTGTAGCTGCGACGCAACGGACCACCACAGCCTCGCCTACCATACTCTCTTTGCTACGTTACATCAATACCAGCCTAGTCGCAGAACACATGTTCGTTCCGGACCCAAGATAAGACGCTCGCTTCTGCCCTGCCTCCCGGCCCGTCGTACAAGCTATGCTTCGCCTTTCTGCTTTCCAGAGCCTTGGGACACGCCGCTCCGCCACGAGGCTAGACGCGACCAACGATTGACTTCAGGGAATGTATGACTGCAGATGTGAAGAAAAAACAATCATCGGAAAATTACGTACGACAATGACACTGTGTTAGATTCCCATCCTTTCGGTGGGGGTTGGTGAGTCATTGGCGAACGGTGAACCACAGACATGCAAGGCGCAATGCGCGAAGCACAACTTGCATGCATGCGCAAACGGAGTCATGGTTGTAAGACAGACTTGTCACGTCACATCGTTTTGCCTTTGTAGCTTCTTGCATCCGTGTTGTTCGCATTCGAGAATCGTATTCTTAAGTCCGCGGTCCCCGGCCGGGTAAGACGACTGATTGATCAGCAATGACGATCGCCGCAACCATTCTTGAGAACCACCACCTGCGACGAGTTGCTTCTGGTCTGTTCCTCAACAATCTGATCGCGTCAAGGGCTAGGGATTTGAGAGGCGAGTGTGGTTGTGTGGCAAGGTTTATCGAAGACTCTGTATTGTAGCCTGCGTGCTGAATTAGAGTAGATGTGAACTGTTTGGTGTGTAGTATGAAAAGTTTCTCATGGCATCTTGCTAGTTCGTAATTCGTATACATGCTGCAGCCCTTGCTGCTACAATTACGCACTGTAGGAGCTGATAAAGTACTGCGAACAAATAAGCATTGTGCTTCAAAGCCAGTGCGGTACAAACTTGCCGTCAAGACCGACTCGTCCTCACCATTATCATTCGGCAGGTAAACATACAGAATCAATGCATGCTCATGGCAGAAACCTACACGGCATGAGCAACGTACAAACGAAGACTGAAAAACGACGGTGTCACACTCACATGCAATGACACGACCACCCAGCCTACCCACACTCATCACCTTGCCCCAGTCTCGGCCATCGATGCGCACAACCGCCCATCCTTCATCGCTCCGCCCATCAGCACTCCCCAGCTGCTTCATGCGCGTACTGGGATGCTCTGCGATGCCATCCTCCCCGCCCGCCACATGTCCCGGGTCCAACTCCGGGTTATTGAGGTCGGTCCAGACAGACGAAATGCTCATGGCATCGGACCTGATGCTTAGTTTCAAACAGCCATGCATATTCGCTGCAATCTCCAAGCGGGTTCTTGCGCTGGACGTTGTAGTCGTGCTGCTGTTGACCTTCGTGTCTGCAAGTGCTAGCTTTGTAAATCTATCGCTTATGCTTTTCAGCTGCATCAACGGAGGCAGGATAATGTGCACGTCTGGCTCTCTGCATGCTGGCTCGTGCAGATGCGCGACGGTGTCGGGGGCAAGGACACGCACGGGTATCTCCTGTGTGACGATTGTCTCGCGGTTCCCTGTGCCAAAGTCGCTGTCGAATGGGGCGTCGAAGCCATCTTGATTGTTTCCAGCTGCGGCGGGGAAGGCACTGTATGTGTTGGAGGACGTGGTGGTGACAATGGTCAGAGCCAGCATGGGTACATTGTCCTTTTTAGTCAGCCGGATGTGTGCTGATGTTGCGTTCAAGGCGGATTTCAGGGCCCGGTTGAGGGATGTCAGAGGGACTTCGAGGTTGATGACATTGTTGGCGGCGGATTGGACGCTGATGGTTTCGAAGATGGAGTCCTACGCTGCGGGTTAGACGCTGGCTTCTTGTCAGACTTGCTGGGCTTACAATGGAAAGGACACTGGATCTGGTTAGAATGCAATAGAATTAATGAGACGGTGAGAGCAGGAACTCACGCCCATACTTGGGTGCCTTGTTCAGGTATGATGGTAAAGCATACCTGCTCCTCGCTGAGCTTCACCCATGCAAGCGGACCGAGCGAATTGAGCGATGCCGTAAGCTCTGCGACATTGTTAGTGCTAAGCGATTCAACCCACAAATAGTGTATCAGTACTCGTAAAGGTCGTAATGTTCTGTATTGATGCCTTGAATCGCATCCTGGCCACCTGTTGGACGCGAGGTGTCGCGACGCGTCGGAAAATGTGGAGGCGACGTGCGCGTCATCGGTGCCCCGCATGGCCTGGAATAGCTCCACCTTGCCTTCATTGCCACACTACTCGCATTTGACATCAGGAATGAATTGATTATTCCAGGCTTCGCACTCTGTACTCGATGACCAGCCCGGGTGCATATGGTAATTACATATTTACAACCACGACTCGCTTACATCTATTCAGGCCGAACCTTCACCAGCACACGTTTGCTTGCTACATATTACACAAGACAGTCGAGCCCTTCCCGCATATAAAAGCGATATCATCTCTATATTCCCATACCTCCTCTACACAAACTGCCTCTGCACTGAGATGGTGGTGTTGGAGATTGTCGTCCGAGAGTATATCTAATGAATCCTTAGCTAGCGTTGGAAGCGTCATGTCATGTGCATACTAACTTGCCCACTAGTTCCCTGGATCTCATAGCGACCAGCTCCTGAAATCGGAACATTTACTCCACTCCTAGTTGTTGCTGCCACGGATGTGAAAGACAAAGTTCCAAAGTTTGGCGGAGTTACCAATTCTCCAGGAATGACTTGATAGGCCTGGACAAACCAATCTGCTGTTAGGGCAGTTAAAAGCCCTGGATCAACACCAGCTGGAGCTGCCAGTGTCTGCGTCGTCTTCCGGTTTTGAGTCTTGTTCTCAATCGTCACTGTGCTTCCTGTCTCATTAACACTGATAGTGACGCCGATCGAATTCCCGTTGGCGAATGGAACAGCCGAAGTTGTATCTGTTACTGGACTTGGAAAGTATGCAGCGAAACTCTGCAGGGTGCTGTTGTACACGATGCCACCGCCGAGAACGTAGTCTTGCTGGAGACTATCACCAATGCCGATCCATATGGATAGCCGATTAGTGCCGGAAAGGTTGGGAACAGTAAATGTGCCAGCTACTGTTTGGAATGAATCGCCTTCAGGAGCTTTGAGCACCGCTCCTCCCCGATTGAGATCAAAGGCAGCAGAGACGGTTGACACCCAGCATGCGGAAGTGAGAAGAGAGGCGAATCTCATGGTCAACATGTGGAAGTAAATGACGCAGAACAATGCAGTGCAACAAAACAATGATGAATGAACCCGGAAGCCGTTGGTCCAGCAGAAATCGTCCTTCTAGTAGGGTATGTAAGAGTACAGGAACTACAACTGGCAGCACCACATGGATTATATTACTACCAGGAAGCGTACCCGGTTAAGGAAGATTACCTTGTGCTAAAATGCTTGCACTTCTTCAACAGTCTGATATTCAACCGGCCGTAGTCCCATGGCAACATCGTCAGTGCGCGTTCGCAAGTTTGGCATCTTTGCCTATCCCGACTGGGCGCGTCGCACTCATCCAATCATGAAACCCACATGCTGCGCCGTACATGTATGAACTCAGAACTAGAGATATACGCTCATGACACCCAGGGTAGATAATATTCGAGAAATTATGAGACGCAGGTACCCCACCGCTTGGCGCGGGGGTAAAGTAGTGTAGATTAAGGCTTGTCCAACCTTGTCTTAACATCCACTGGCATTAACATAGCCGAATTTAGAGCCAGCCAGTCATATATTATCCCTTGGGCAAAGCAATGTGGTACAGGTGGGGCGTCACACTCCCTTTCACCCGTCTGCACAACTGCCGATGGACAGTCAAGACATGTGTTATTGGAGGAATATCAACTAAGAAAGGCAGTGGGATTTTGAGGTACCAGAAAGAGCTAGGAACGTTACAAGATCAGCACACTGAGATTGCGGTGCCCCATGGGTCACTGTAGGTACATTGTGCCAAGCAGATATTTTGAGAATGCAGACTTGACTACCTATCAGAAGCTCATCAGGGGAACAAACGCCGAGTCTAATAGATGAAAATGGCAATTTTGTTGCTCTCGGACCGTAACGGTGATTGCAAAATGCTGTTGCTGGTTGAATCTACTTGGGCGCCGCGCCACCGTCATAGCCACCTTGATGTGGAAGACGAAGCGCCGTATCCGTCCCGCGGCGACCTTGATAAGTGCTACCTATCTAATAACACGTGCTATATTTGCAGCATAGTACATACATTTGCCATTGCCATCCTTGTTCCTCATAGTGTGATAAGCAAGTCCAGTACGACGGTTTAAGACCCGAGGTGCATACAACGAGCATCTCTTCTTTCCAGCCTCCACAACTTGAGTACCCATCATTATCGGACAATATGAAGACATTTCTTACTGCACTTGCATTTGCTGCCCCAGGAACAGCGTTGTTGCGCTTCCCATGCGCTCAACTGGTCATCGACAGGCTAGATCCGCTGGTGACGCCTGGTCAAGCACCCTCTCCGCATCTTCACCAAATTCTTGGAGGAGTAAGCACTTCTATTTTTTGTTAGAATAGTAGCTAAGCGGGTACAGGACTCTTTCAATATCACCATGGACCCAGCAAAGGACATGCCTGGGGAATCAACCTGCACTTCTTGCCAATTCAGCGAAGACTTTTCCGTGCGTGAGCTATAGAACACTTCTGCAGCAAGTTCTCAACTAATCAAATTCCAGAACTACTGGACCGCCGTTCTGTACGACAGTTTATATGGCGCGGGCTAAGGAAAAGAAAAACCACTGACGCTCCACCAGCTACTTCAAAGCCCGAAACGGCACATACAAGCGCGTACCGCAGATCCCCAACTCGGGTTTCGACGGGGTCAACGGGGGAATGACGGTGTATTACATGCAAGATGGCCTCTACAACTTCCAGCAAACATCCAAAGTGCAAGCTTTCCAGCCGGCAAGTTCTTTTTGCTTTTATTTGACACGTGGACTGGTGTTGCGTGGAATGTTGACGACTAACGGTGCTACTGCAGGGCTTCCGCATGTTCATCGGCGACGTGAATGCGCGTACGAGAGAGGAAGCAGAGCGCTTCCGACAACTCACATTTACCTGTCTGGACGACATCAACACGCGAGATCCACAGACCCTCGATTTCCCCGACAAACCGTGTAAGACTGGTATTATGACTGCTGTTCGCTTCCCCACGTAAGAGTCCTCCCCACCGCTTTTTTCTTTATACCTTTCTTTCTTTCTCCCCATGTTTGTTTCTTCGCTGTCTTACATAAAGGCCTACTCACCATGATTGCACGATAGATGCTGGGACGGCGTCCACCTCGACTCGCCAGACCACATGGCACACATGGCATACCCTGAACACGGCACCTTTGAGACGGGCGGTCCCTGTCCTGCGAGCCACCCCGTGCGAATGAGCCAGCTCTTCTACGAAGTCGTCTGGGATACAAGTAAATTCAACAATTTGGCTGAGTGGCCCGAAGACGGGACTCAGCCGTTTGTGTGGAGCTTTGGAGATGCGTAAGTTGTTTCCTTATTCGCAAAGACGCTACAATTGGCTTCGTGTACCCACCGGTGCGTGGCGCAGCGTGCTAATGCATCAATGGGGATATGCAGGACGGGCTATGCTAACCACGGCGATTACATCTTCGGCTGGAAGGGCGACGCTCTGCAGCGTGCGCTTGACTCACCTTGCTATGTAAACTGTCCCACGCTCAAGACGCAAGATGCAACTGCCATGAACAAATGCACGGTACCGCGCGTGGTGAACGAAGACATCGATGGCTGGGTTACCGAGCTTCCCGGCGGCTACCAAGCGCAATACATCAAGAAGCGTTGGGCAGACTAGGTAGCCGTGCTCTGGACTTGATACTCACTGGTCTGCACAAAGGTCAAGGCGTGGCAACGAGTCGGTGCAATAAAGGAGAAGGAAAGCGTTCTTTTTCACGCTTCAGGGCTCTTAATATCTTTGCTGGCTATGGGAAGGAAGACGATCGACTAAACTAGTACTATAAGGTATTCGTGGGAATAATGTGACTCTAAAATGTTGGGAGGGCAATGGCCCAATAGAAAATATCTTGCGTGTCGGTATGTCTCGCTGCTAACAAAGGAAATCTTGGAACGCAGTCTCATGTGCTATTGCGGTTCGCGTGGGGAGCAAATTAATGTCTCCTGTGTGTACGATCTCATGCGATTTGGCCGGCGTGTATTGGTCTTGCGGACTAACTGCTCTGCCATCTTGGATGCGCACACAGTTTGGCTGTGTTTCGGAAGTAGAATATGTGCATACCTCAATATGAGCCTAGATCAGACTCTTTGACTGTACACATACTTCGAGTCGTCTTCCAAGAAGATGGTGGGAAATCGCCTATGCTGTCTCTCCTCCTCGTCGTTCTCCGAAACAACATGAATCTCCTCCCTCTGGTCGACCTCGTGCCAAACTCCAAAACTTCTAGAGATATCATCCAGCTCTGTTGCGCTGATCACCGTCTCCCCTGTGTTCTCCTTTGTGTTCCCAAAATCATGCAAAGAGTTGTGCGAGTAGTATGTGAACCCGCTAAACTGCGACCAATCACTTGTTCGGCGTGTGTCGTGCGTAAACGTAGTCGAACCCGAGAAGCGCGAAAGCGGAAACGGTTTGGTAAGTTTGCGTTTCGATCGGGTTGATGGGGATTCGATGTCGAAGTCGAGGTTTGATTCATCGTCGTGGAAGCGCGTAATACCACTTTCGTCGTAGCCTGCTGGGAAATAGGCAGTGTTTGGGCGATACATAATGGTTTGAGTGGAGTAGCGTTTATTCGGTCGAGATTGAGATTTGTCGTTATTGGCAGTCGGGTCAATACTGAAGATGGAATCGACATCGCCGTGGGAAACATGAACAGCGCTGCCGGCTACGGGGCCCGATATTTTAGGAACCGCGCGGGGAGCCTCGGAGGCACTTGGTGTCTGAAAGGCTCTGCGAAGCGGTAGCAATGCTCCAAGATTTACTGCTATCATGGCTATAAGTAGTTCAATAGCGCCCCAGGTCATAAGTGACAAGTCGTATTTGCCACGATCTCCTATCTGAGCCCAGGAAGTGGCAACCATTCGGCTTCGGACAATGGAGATTGCACATGAACTGCAAAAATGTTAATAATATCAGCGATATTGCGTAAGGTGTACATACAAAAGTGCCATTGCAGCTATTACCACAAGGTACAGTTTGACGCCAATTTTGAATGAATAGCTGATGGCAGCAGAGAACGCGAGCAACGATATTAAATGACTAGTAATGGCATTGATTGCTGCAGCACAGGTTAGTATACGTTTACCGGTGTCGGAGCGAGTACTACTTACAATGATTCGCCATGGCCCAGTGCTGCGATTCGCTTGACGACATGCATCTAGCATCCTCGCCGTACGCCAGATCCCAAGCTGCCACCAGAGGGATACAGTAAACGAGAATCGAGATGAACCATTCAAGCGTGTGCCAAAAAACGAGGACTATTTACGTCAGTTCACCTCCTGCCAATTCTCTTGCTTGCTGCATGGGCTTACAGATGAGCCCAATGATTAAGACTCCGCGAATGACGTGTGCATAAGGGTGGGATCTGAAGTTGGAGGCTGGTAAGAGCTTGAAAGCAGCCGACAACTTGACCAGTCCAAGCCCAAAGATGTGGACAGACTGCAATGCCCATATCCATGGACCCATCTGCGTACTCTTACTGGCCGACGTGGCGTTTCCACCCTTCAGTCCGAGACCCAGCTCTACTACTCCAGTAAATGTAATAAATACACCGACTACACATAGCTGCCATCACTGTTAGCTAATAGTTTCTGTGGTTTGGTAATCAAGGCAACATACGGCAGCCAGAGACATGAGTGCATCATCAAAGTCAAATGCGTGAAACAGCCTCGCTCGTGTATACACCCTAAGTGAGTAGACCAAGAGCGCGATCAATACCAGTGTGACTACCACGGCAAGATGGAGAGGACCATGGTCATTGGCGAGTGAAGCATGAGGCAGTGCCGAAGGCGAGGCTGCGCCCACAACCCCACTCATGGCTCGATGAGAAGGTAGTGGTGTACTGATGTTCCGTAAAGTCTAGGTAGCTTTGACAGAGAGGCCGAAGAAGAAGGAGAATCACGAGCAGAATAATCGAAGAGAAGAAAAGGGTGTGTGGAGTTGGAATGACAGGACAGGGTAACAAGAAGAGGGTATCACGAAAGGCGCACTGAGCCCGGCGTTTTGGCGTTAAGCCGCAAGTATGACAGCAGATGCATGGTTCACAGCTCCTCGCCGAAGTCGCTATGAGGCCAAGGAGTACACTTAGCAGAGGTGCTGAGTGGAGCCAATTGCCCGGTTGCCGGGTGCCTGCAAGGTACGCGAGTGGGGGAGCTGTGTGTGGTACCTTTGGCGCCCGGGATCCCTCCCTCGTCTACAGTTAGTTAGCGTTCCATGGAACAGCTTTGAGGATAGCTGATGGTGACGGATGCCTGTATGCGATTGGAGCGTAACCCAATGCCGTGAAGGATTTTAGCAGTTATGTGCTTTTCTGCAGGGTTGCTCACGGTTCGAGGGGTACGTCCACGAAAGCGTCCTCCAGGCCGAGCCCAGCATGTTGCTTTTTTGAACCTGACTACTGCACGTCCGCTCCTTCACTTCCACTCCCGCTGCAGTACCAAATTCTTCAGTCGGATGGGTGTAATCCCGACGCATAGCCACGCTGTCGGAAGACTGCATCTTGTTCGCGCAAACGTCGACGCATTCCCTTTACATGTCGCTATTCCTATGTCATGTTGACACAAACGGCGGCTTCGGGCTATTTCCAGAATGACGGTGTGGCATATCGTCAAAAAGGCCGATCCACGATCGAAAAAAAGAACAGATGGATTCGTGTATCGCGAGTGCAGGTGGGGGGCGGCTCATTTGCCCCTTGAAAGGGTTGATCGAGCGAACTTTTGCTTTTTTCGTAATGGTTAGATTGATGCGCGGGTATCACGAGGGACCAAGAAGTCGACGATATGCAAGGTACAGGAGGCATGAGTGAGCAGTCCTTAGAGAAAGCTGCTCTGCCGTGGGATGTGGTGTTTCTGCCGTACTCAGGTATGGGGCTATGCAGATTCTGACAGGTGGATGTGATAGAAGTGGCGTCGCCTAGGCGCATCGTGCAGTCACAGATGATCGGACTAGAGCGTGGTGGAGAAACAGGATCCGGAAAAAGCAACAGGACGGTGGCAGCTGGTGAGGCCATAGATAGATAGCCTCGTCATTGAAGGTGGCAGTGGGGAAGTCGATTATCGAGCAGGGTGGCTGGCGCTTAACCCATTCGAGCAAACACGCAAGAATGGCAGCGGCGGGGAACCCTTTGGTGAGACATGCTTGGCACGCTAAGTCGGTTCAACAGTGACCATTTTCGGGCCGTCTGACTTCAACAAAGACGGCACCCTCTTCGACTAGTCGGCCTCGGAACACAGGCAGACCAGTTCCTGGAACCCTCCCTCGACCTTGATCATTTCCCCTTCATGGTTTCACCGTTGCTGCCATTCCCAGGACCAGCCGGTTCATCCAGTCCCTTGAGCAGCCGAGCGCTGTGGCATGGTTATCTATGGACATGGCTGCGTCTGTGGGACTGTGGAGAAACACACTCGTGACACAAGCCATTCAGACATTTCAAGCTATTGAGCACATGAGCTGGGACGCCACGCCTCGCCTCAGCCGCCTCAAGGTCCCACCCAGGCAGAAACTATTGACTTGGTTTGGACAATTCGAGCCGAGCCTTTATTTCTTTTCATGCAGGTTCGTTAGCCTCATTCTTTGAGACAAGACTGCTGCTGCCAGGGCCTTTGCAGTTACAGCGGCAGTCGTACACATACGTTGATCCAAACTCTGCAACTCCATGAGGCTGGCTAAACACAAACTTGACAGTTGCCGACCCATATACGGAAGCGGGCTTCGAGACACTTATCAGATACTCTAACAGCTACATTTCCTAGGCACTCTGAGAAGGGTTTGATAGGTAGGTGATGTCATCTGTCGCTTCAAATTGTGTATGTATGAAGCCAGTCCCTGAAATCAAGGCACTGATGTCATCAAGTTAGTCGACGCTACTTGAAGAACCCTTGGCTGGGCAGAGCCAATACAGGTGTGGAATGACGATTGTAGCAGTGGAGTCGAAAGCTGTGGAATAATATAGCAAGAACAAGTTTGTTGTTGTTGGCTTACTCGGATCGGCTGAATTGCTACAATTAACGACCTGAAGAATGGAAGCAAAAGTTGGTTCTCTGATGGGACAATACGGAGAGGGGATGTTAATACCCATGGCTGTAGTCCGAGCAGGACCACTGTTGGTCATGAGTTCAACCTCGCATCACACTGAGTGCAATCCAAATCTCCTTGGCCTGCTCGCTCAGGCAGGCTGAGATTTGAGTCGTTTGGACGCCGCTTTACACCAAACAACCAACGCGTTCTCTCCTTTGCATCAAGTTATCTCCGCAAAACGACTTTAGATTAATGCGCCACGCCCGGTGGGTGTGGGATGGGTTGCTTGCATCTGTCGTACGATCGGTAAGCTCCACGCCAACGCAGATTCCCGTTACTTCAATTTTTAAGTATACGTTCTGCGAAGAGACTGGGCAGTCGATAGAACTGCTAATTCAGGTGTGAATGCTAACTCTGCACACACTTGACAGTTCTGCCACACGTACCTTGAATCATATTGATTTCCGCAGGACGGTAATTTCGCCGTTTGAAATATCGTTTTCAACGTTACGCGCCCGGGCGTAAGCCTCTCTATCTTTCACTTCGACCGTACCACCACCAGCTGAACCCTTCTCGACGTCCGCGGGACGGTTTCATAACGTATCTCTGTACCGGTGTATGCTGGCGCGAGGTCCGGCCATGTCGTGGGTATGACATCGATGTCGCTTATCCTGGTCGAGGGGTCGTTTTCTACCTTTGCACCACTATCAGAGACTTGCTGTGAGTCTATTGGCTAGCGGCCTGTGTAAACAGCTTGCTTGCATGGCGCGGTACCAGAACGACGTTGGTCCGACAACTTACCACGACTTCCTAGTGCTAGTTAGCAGAACACTAAAGTTGTCACAGTTTTTACTTATTGTAGACTAGCACAACCAGATGAATGGAGGGCATCGTCACGTGCTCATCCAGTAAATTTCAGCATGCGGAGAATCTCGGCACAACGGCGTTTGGCTGCAGTGGGCCATTCAATTTTACCTGAATGCCCCACCATCATGACCCCTCACCGAAAAACGCATCTTTGAACAAACCATCGAGGCATGTTTTACACCCAATTCTTTCTTCCCAATATATACTATCCAAAACCCTGTTCCTCCATCAAATAACTAAGCAATCACTGGCCTAATGGCCCAATGGCAAGGCGCTTGACTACGATTCCATAATCCGAAATCAAGAGATTCCAGGTTCGACCCCTGGTTAGGTCAAGGACCCAGTCCATTGCTTCCTATCCTTCTTCAGCATCGGTGGTTTAGTGGTAAAATTAGCCGTTGCCATCCCTTTCATCTGGTCTTGGATCAGATGGCGGAGCAACAACTTCGGCTAGCCCCGGGTTCGGTAAGTTTCATTCGCTCAGATCACGGCGATACATCTTCTAACAGTGTTCTAGATTCCCGGCCGATGCATTACCTTCTTTTTTGCTGGTGTGGGGGATAAGTTTAGTAGTGACCCTTTTTGTAGGACGAGGAATAGAGTCAATGTATAACGTATGTGGCAAGCGAGCGCCGCAGGCAAGCGAGCGCCGCACCCCACCAAACCTGCGCACCTCTATAAGCCTGTAGTTCCACCACAATATAGTTGTTTTACTACATATTAACATAATAGATTAAGCAGTACCTAGAGTATCTTTCTTGCACGTACGCGAGTTATGGCCAGTCTCTCTGCACCTACTACAGCGCGCCAAAGCCTGGCGGCTAACACCTGATCGCTCTCCTCTCTGACGCTCTTCATGAGCAATCTGCTGATCAGCCTCGCGCTGAGCGAGTAGATCCTCTCCAGCTCCCTTTGTAAGTACTCCTCGCT